CGAATTTTTGCGGCCACGCGTTTTGACTCGATTCGGCGCACCTCAGTCGACGCGGAAAAGCGATTGATGCATAGACGTGACTCACGTGACTTGGGGAATTTGTAAGCTTAGTACGCACGATTTTTCATATATATTACGTGATATTAAGTGTTATTGCGTATTTTACATATAGATTTTAGAGTATTTTTTTAATTGTTGTATTACTACCAAAAAAAGTCAATTTCATAATCAGAAATACTGTCAATTTATGTTATGTTTACATGCATAGAGAATACCTTTACAATATATTACCAGTCAACGTATATACATGGCTTTATTATTAAAAATTTTATACTTGTCGATAACTACACTTTCAATCAACGTGAATTACAGCAGCGTCACTTTTAAGGCGTATACTTGTACGATTAAACGAACTTAACTGTGAAGTTCGATCGTAATTATACTAGGCGCCTCGCTCGAAGAGATCACTTTGATTGAACTATGTAGTACCGCTTTAGGTGCTAGTTGATCACACATTTTATAGAAAGGAACGCTACTATTGCCGTTCCGTTCTGTATTACTAATACTCCGTGCTGTAACTATCTTCATTACATTTTAAAGTTGCAAGAGTGGATATGAAACATTTTCAAATTGGGTTGGGATACTTACTCCTTTATATCTTATTCTTAAAGAATTTTTGTTTAGTGGGATTACTTATTATTTTGTAAAGGGAGGGAGTGATCTCTTCGGGCGAGGCGCCTAGTATAATTACGATCGAACTTCACAGTTAAGTTCGTTTGATCGTACAATTATACGACGGCGCCTCGCCCTCAAGATCACTTTGATTGAACTATGTAGAAGTTTAAAGACTTAGAAATGTTACATATCCATCCTGTTGTTTTCAATAAATTACTGCCATCAGTGTAACACATTTATTATGACCATGCACAAGAACTCTTCGTGTATGATTTTACAATATTAAACATGTATGAATGTATTCACAATTCAGTTGCTAAAACAGATTTTGCAAAATTGTTGTCTTCTACAACGGGACGGTTGTAGAATTTTGCAAAGACTTTTGAGGTTTTTGTCCAGCCTGCTGTTTTCCTAATAACATCCCAAGATACACCATTTCTAGCGGCTGCCGAGGTAGAGGCATGCCGTGTGGAATACGCTGAAAAAATCTGCGTATTTATTCCCGCTGCGTTTAACGTTTGTTTAATCCATCTGCTAATTGTCTTTTGATGCCCTCTTGTATGGATCCTTTGCTGTAATGAATAAATAGTCTTCTGATTGTGGNAATATATATCTTATAGTTAATTTTATTTTAAATACACAAGTTATAAAAAGTGCCTAAAAAGACGTTAATTTGGAAACTAACTTTTTCGAAATTGCAGATAATGAAATTATATATTAACGATTTTTTTATTTGAAATATATTCGCCATGTTTTTCGACACCACACTTGGATTGGAATATCATTTTTTAATTTTACTTTTACAAAAAATAAAACTTCATGCAGAACATAGTGCCGTATTTTTTTGACTTCATTAAAAAAATCTAAGAACACGAAATAATATTGAAATAAATGAAAATATATAAGAATTGATACGTTTTTAAATTATTAAAAATTAATAGATTTTATGTTAAACTAGTATATGGTGGCATTTTAAGTACCTAATGTACAAAAACTTGATGTTATTAATATAATAAATTGTTATCTTTAAGGAATCATGGATATTATTATTAATTGAATCAAATACAAAAAATATACGTTTACTAGAATTTTACACACTTTAAGACTAAAATACCTATTACGTAATTTTGACATGTAGAAAAAAAACGTTTTTGCATGTACTATGAATCTGTATTAACAGATGTTTACGTTTATGATTTGAATTCATACAAAGTTTATTCTTATCGAAAAAATAATAATTATATATTCTAATACATTTCACCTTTTTTGTGTAAACTCGAATAATCAGCCGATCACATCAAAAGTACCTAAACTTCCACGCGTTTCCAAAACGAACTTAGCCCATGCCAAATCAAGTAAATATATGATCGATAATTATAAACCTAGCTTTATCAACAAAACCGGCTGCTGGATTGCAATTATTTGAGGTTATATATTACTTTAATTGTCAAACCTTCGTTTTAATAATCCAGTGTCCTGCTGGTGCATATTTTGACTTTGTGATATTGAGCTTCTAATATAATTTGTGTTATGTCAGAAACTAGTGTTCCATTAAAAAACATGAAACTAATATTTTATATGTATATTTTTCTACAAACACTGTACTCAGTAAATGGAAATTTAGAAGTTGTTCAAGATGATGAATTAATGAATTTAATAAGAACTGAAAAATATGTTGTTGTATTGTTTTCTAGAAAATACTGCGAATCCTGTGATAACTATGCAAATGAGTTAACTGCATTAAGGGAAGATTTAGTGGAGACTTTGAATGCATGGGTTGTGAAAGTAGAAAATAGTCAAATGACAAGACTATACAGTCCTGATCTGGAACCAGTATTAGTGTTCTTTCGCCATGGCATTCCTCTATTATATGATGGACCTTTAAATGACGAATTAATTTTACATACATTTACAAGTAATAAAGATCCTGTGACAAAAGAATTAACTGATGAAACATTTGAACATTTGACTCAAGCGGCTACTGGTGCAACTACAGGAGACTGGTTTGTTTTGTTTTACACTCCCGATTGTGTTGATTGTACTCGACTGCAAGCTCGATGGGAAGCTGTTGGGGCCCAGTTAAAATCAAGAGTAAACGTTGCCCGAGTAAATAGAGCTACTACAGGGGCAGCTACAGCAAGACGTTTTGATGTGTTTAACGTGCCAACATTTATATTATTCCGTCAAGGCAAGATGTACCGTTACCAAATTCAAAAGTATGATGTAACGTCTTTTGTAGACTTTGCAAAATCCTGGTATAAAAATGTTACACCAGAAAGAGTTCCTGTACCAAAATCACCATTTGATGATTTCACAGCTATGATTGCTGATTACTTAAGAGAAAATCCATGGGTGTGGCAAATTGGTTTTGGGACATTTATATTAGGAGTAATAGCATCTTTCTTTACAAGACATACTCAGCCAGTACCAGAGAAGAAAAAGCCAAGTAAGAAAGATAAAAAAGAGAAAACCAAGGACAAGTAAAAATGTGAAATAGTATGTGAATTCCTAACATTTTGTATTAGTACATTTTGTATATTTTTTGTACAATATTTGAATAGTAAATACTGTTTTTGAATTTATATTCTATCAAATTTTTATATAAGCTTTTTATATAGTTATATGTATTTACCTACTACCACTACTGTAAGTACTTAAAAACACACTGTCTGCGATCAATGTAAGATTCCTATTACGTACGGTAAAAAAAACGCACAGTTTTCCTAGCAACTGCTTAGCAACGGTCAATACAATACTGTTTGTATTGACCGTTGCTAGGCGGTTACTAGGAAAACTACGATTTTTTTTTTTTTACCGTACGACGTAATAGGAATCTTGCATTGATCGCAGACAGTATGTTTTTAAGTATTTAAAGTAGTGGTCATAGGTAAAGTATAGTATGTAATACGTGGTGTAATGCAATTACGTACGCGTAGAATTACGCACTCGCCGCTACGCGGCGTCGTGCGTAACTTTTCCATTCGTGCTTAAAATGTTTTTTACAACACTTATTATGTAATATACTGTTATATACTTATACACCTGGCTACAGTCACACATTTTTAATTTTAAATTATCAAAATTCAAATTGTTTAAATACAAACAAAGCCTAAGAAACAAGTTGCAAACAGATATGGCACAAAATTTAAGTTCAATACAAAATCTCAAAAAAGTCTTAAGAAACAAATCATCTATAAGATATAAAACAAACCTAGTAACATTCTAGATGGCACTGTCCATCAATTATGGCGTGCTACCTAACAATTGTCCAATTTGTCAAGATTCATGGATTTTTCAGTCGGTGTAATATAAATGAAAAATCCATTAGCATTACATTCATATCCATTATCAACGGCTTATTTTTATTATTTATATATTTATGATTATTATTTGTAGGTTATGTTTTGTTCGTTTCGGCTAGGCTAGGTTAGATCGGAAAGGAGGGAACTGATTTTGGTCATATTTTGGTTTGTTCACTTATTTAAAAAAAACGAACTTGGGCAGAACTCTACTGAAAGTGAATTAACCAAAGTGACCAAGTGTGTAAAACAAATACAGCTAATAATACCAAACTTTTAAAATTGTAATGTAATATCTAACCTTAGTTTTTTTATTTATAAAAAAATGAGTGAGGTGAACATAAAAAATATCAGGAATTATTTAAAGACTAATATTTTAAATAATAACACATTTATTGGCCGTGAAGATGAGAGGAAAGAAATATTTGATTTAATACAGAAAACTGTTCAACATGGTGAATCAAATTCGGCCTTAGTAGTAGGACCTAGAGGATCTGGAAAGACTGCTGTAACTATTAATTTATTTATATAAGTATTATAGTCCACGGGCATACGTACAAAGAAAAAAATATTTACCAGCAAGCTGTAACTTTGCGTGCAGCTTAAGTTTGACGAGTCTCCCAAGATTTGACTGAAGAAAATTCAACAGTGGTAAGTTTTCCCGTGATTTTCAGGAAAACATGTCAATCTGGCATAAACATGGAATGTAATAACCAGCACTTTTTTTTTAAGTTTAAATGAGATATTTTTTTTAAACCTCCCAAAAAATTTGTCCGACAAAAATGTTGGTACTTTGAGTTTGTCCACCACCTCAAATATGTCGATTTGGTGACATTATGGTTGGTGACAACCAGCAAGCTGATTTTTCTGGGAGGGATTGTTAATAAGATTTGAAATGAAAGTATATTATTGTCCGACAAAATTCTTGAGAAGTTTTTGCAGTCCGACGCCACGTAGATGTCGACTTAACGACAACATGGTTGTTGATAACCAGCTGTCGGACAAAAGCGTCATTATTTAAAAAAATGCAATATTAATCTGAGAATTTAATTGTCCGGCAAAATTAACGGGTTTTTTGCTTGTCCGACAAAATTAAACGATAAAATTTTGCGGTTTCAATACTTAGCATGATGTAGAAGAAAAATTTATATTTAATAAAAAAAATATATGAATAAAAAAAATTTTGTTTAAATTTCTCAAATTTCAAAATAAATATGACTAATTTAAATTTATTTTTTTTTATACAATTACAAAAAAATTGTATACAGGATGGTCCCGAGCTAATAGGTCATGGGTAGATTCTCGAAGCAAAAATATTGCGATTTAGCCGAACTTACCTTAGTGCAAAATTTGATAGTTAAAGAGATACAGGGTGTTAAATGTAAAACTTTATTTTAGTTTTTTTTTTTCATTTTTTCCTTAACAAATGCAAATATCCTCACAAAATTTTGAGGTTTGGAGTTCTTTAAGTAGAGGAATTGAAATGTGTTCACATTTTGGTTAAAGTTCATAGAGGGCGCTAGCTCCAGTAGATTGAATGTGTTAAAAACAACAACTTTTTTATACTTTAACGTATCTCATCTTTGGTTCAAATTCTTATTTTCCAACTTTTTTTCCTCAAAAAAGCTACACTTTATAAAACTAGCTGTCTCGCACCGTTTTCGAGATATTTGGCTTTGAAACTTCCAATGCTATTGAATTAACTTACAATGAAGTACCTACCTACCTACCTATTATTAATTTAGCGGTGAAGTTTCTTAAGTTTGGACGAAAATCAAATAATTGACATATTCCACTTGTCTTATTGCTGTCATTTGTATGCTACTGTACATTGAGTATTATTCGTACCTAAAATTACATCTTAATTTAAATTGTATGTACATAAACGTGAGATGGAATGCCGAGACTTCCGTTTTTGGGATTACAATTCAGTTGTTTATGGAGAAACTATAAACACCTGTTAAGAACTTTGGCAGCAGGTTTTAAATGCTGCAAAGTCAGTTTGCATTAAGGATTTATACTTTACAAGACAATCTTTTAATAAATAATAATTTTGATAAATGTATAATAATATTTTTAAAATTGGTTTAACTGATTTTTGAAGAACAAATCTATGTGTAAACTGTTTGTCAAAACAAGATTGCAAATTTTAATTTAAAAAAACAAGCATAAATTTATGAATTCATTGTACAGTTGCCATTTTTTATAAAATAGTTACAATAGTTTATAAAATAAAATGTACATATGTTTTTTGAACAAAGAAATCATTTTGATGGAGATTAATTAAATTAGTTAGACATAATTATTTATGAATTTCAATTTCTGTTGCTCCTGTTAACAAGATAATTTTCTTATTTATTCTTCTTTATTTTTTCATTAAAAAATTAATTATTTTATAGCGGAATGAACATTAGGTACCACAAAAATAGTTATTTTTCCCATTTTTAAGACAAAATTTCCAATCTTTTTAGGGGACAAGTATATTATTGAGTTATACATTTCAATTATTAGAGAAAAAAATCAAAACCAGATTGCTGGTTATCACCAACCATGTTGTCGTTAAGTCGACATCTTCGGACGTCGAACTGCAAAAACTTTTCAAGAATTTTGTCGGACAATAAGATACTTTCATTTCAAATCTTATTACCAAACCCTTCCAGAAAAATCAGTTTGCTGGTTGTTACCAACCATGATGTCACCAAATCGACATATTTGGGGTGGCGGACAAACTCAAAATACCAACATTTTTGTCGGACAAATTTTTTGGGGGGTTTAAAAAATATATATCTTTCATTTAAACTTAAAAAAAAAGTGCTAGTCATAACATTCCATGTTTATGCCAGATTGACATGTTTTCCAGAAAATCACGGGAAAACTACCACTGTTGAAATTTCCTCATAGTCAAATCTTGGGAGACTCGTCAAACTGATATTAAGCTGCACGCAAAGTTACAGCTTGCGGGTAATCATTTTTTTCTTTATACGTGGGCCCGTGGAGTGTGGATTATTATGTTTTCATAATGTTTTCATTTTAGCTGATAGAAGATGTATTGACAGAGTTGCAGAAAAGTCAAACTTTTAATAATGATGCTATACTTGTGAAATTACATGGTTTAATTCACACCGACGATTCTCTAGCTTTAAGAAGTATTACCTCTCAAATGAAATTAGACAATGCTGTAGATGGAAAAGTATTTGGAAGTTTTGCAGAAAATCTAGCTTATTTATTAGCATGTCTACGGGCAGGTGAAAAACATACATCGAAATGTGTAATTTTTATATTGGAAGAATTTGATCTCTTCTGTGCTCATCACAACCAAACACTGTTGTATAATTTGTTTGACATTTCACAATCAGCACAGACTCCTATATGTGTACTAGGTAATACAATCTCTAATAATGAATGGATTATTTTTATTTCTAAGATATGCTTTTTGTAGGTATTACATGTCGTCTTGATGTTATTGAATTGTTAGAGAAACGAGTGAAGTCTAGGTTTTCACACAGGCAATATTTTTTGTATCCCTGCAAAGAAGACTGTGACTATATTTCTCGTTTAGAGCATACCTTGACAAAAATTGAATATTATTTAAGTCTCCCAGAAGACATGAAATTTAAGATTAATAGCACTTTAAAGAAACAGTGGAATAAAACTTTAAAAGGACTTTTAGCAGATAAAAAATTTAGAGCTGTAATTCAGAGACTGGTAGATATAGACTTAAATGAACGAACACTGAAGAATATATTGGTATGTTGAAATGCATAATAATAAACGGTAATTATTTACTTTAGTGGCACCACCTCCAATTTTCACAAAATTTTGTCTACCCCCCTATTTTCGATGGTGCTGAACACGAATCTGAAGTTTTTTTTGTGCGGTCGAACCCAGTTTTTGAGAAAAAAAATTTTCAAAATTCTAACCTGAATATTTCAGATAACACTACGTAGAACTCTGTATATTTTATGTAGCTTTCAGAACATCTGTAATAAACAATGAACATTGTTTAAGAAACACATTTTCCCAAATTTGAACTAAAAAAAATATGTATTTAATAAATAAAATTATAGTAACTTTATGTGGGATGAACAGAGTTGAATGAGAGTGGGGGAACTCAATGTTGTCATCACGAATTACAAATGGCGGATTCAAACTACAAAATTTTTATTTATTAAATACATATCTTTTTACTTGAAATTTACGAAAATGTGTTTCGTGAACAGTGTTAATTGTTCATAACAGATGTTCTG